GGGGGGAGAGTGAGTGAGAGGGTGAAGGGAAGGATGTGAGGGGCTGGCAGGGGAGAGAGTGATTGAGGGAGTAGCCCGGGTAGGGCAGGGAGATGATTGTGCGGATGATGTGTGGGGAATGGAGATGAAATATACCATTCATGTTACGCGTAAATCTTTCACCACATTTACATGTATGATGTGTTTATTATTCCTGGTGATCTGTACCTTTCCATCCTGTGTCATAAATTTCTATGTAAACCTGTCTGCCTGTACAATAATGTTGAAATGTTTGTCCTCACATAAATATTGTCCCCTCCAAATGGTTATTTCTCAATCAGAAAATAGCAAGTGCACATCTAAGCATTTTCATCATTTAGTGGTTTGATGGAGAATTTTGTATTTTCTCACTTTGACCCTATCCGTACGCCCTGGGGTCGTTTTGTACCCCCGGTGTTGTATTCTTCAACTTTTAGAATACTTCTAGTATGAAGATCTCTTTGAAACTTTCAGTATTTCTCAAAAAATCATTTTGACAGACCGCGTTGCAAAGCTTACGAATTGGATTAATAAGTAAATTTCCTCTTTGGAAAATGGTGGCACAGAGTTATGTCATATGGATACGATAGTCAAACACGACGTACGGATACGGTTAATCATGTATTCATTCTCGTGGGATTTGTCTGTTGTAATTGATGTTTTTATTCATTTGAACTTTTGTCTAACATTAGAACGACCACCTGTATCAAGCAGGCAAGTCGGCTCAAACAGAACGAGAATGTCCAAACAAAACAACTGACCAATTGTTGCCTATGAAATCATTTATGTGTGTGAGAACATTTGTCAGGAATTTCTGTGTAATTAAGACGTACTAACTTGACGTTAAGATGTTCATGTGAGTGGACACATGGCGGGGCGAACCGGGTGGGTGGTTGGCTTGGCGGGTGCTCTGGTGTGGTTTGCTTCTTCTTTTCTATTAAAAATCTATCGTCCTTATCTCCCCTTCTTCTTTTTTATGTTTGTTACTGGTGTGGTTTGCTCCTTCTTTTCTATCAAACATCTATCGTCCTTATCTCCCCGTCCTTCTTTTTTATGGTTGTTACTCTCTTGTAACACCTCTAATCTTGTGGCACTCATATGACGTTATGCAGTTGCGAGCGCCACCGTAAAACCTCTACTGAAACTAAAGAGCGGGCAGGGGTCCGTTTACTTTGTCGGTTGAATGTAGGGGAAGTTTGTGGGTCTCATTAGCCCTATCAGTGTGAAAAGTGTCTAAAGGACACCCCCACCATGTGTGTGAAGAGGACATGAGGGGAAAAACGACGGCGGTCTCAAACTGGAAATTTTGAGGGTGCCAATTTTAAAAGCTTGTGGACTCCTAACTTCTCATTTTTGTTTGATTGGTGGTTTATTGTTAAGTGTTGTTGAATGGGAAATCTAACAACAAAAATCAACCAATCGTTGAATATCCCCTAAAGGTGCTCCGAACATCAATGTCATCCAACTGACAAGTGTACCCCCCCTCCGCGCTTATTGTTGTTGGCCGTCTAGCGGACGCAGAAGCAGATGTCAACTCCGTTCTACAC